TAAGGAATCCAATACCATCTTCTAGCCTCACTCACATGAACATATACACAAATACAGACATACTCACACATGAACACACAGAAATACAAATCATCAAGAAAGCCAATATCTATATATTTTAGGGGACAACATGGTAACTCCATACATGTATTCAGCACTGAGTTATCATGGAATGGCAGTAGGCACCTCCCTCTCCTCAAGTGGTAATAAGTTCTGTGTTTGGAACTTTCATACTGTTTTAATTACCTTGAAATTTACCCCAGATTGTCATAGCCAACAGCTCATTCCACCATGTTATAAAGTACTAAAATGAATTCCAATTTCTCCAAGTTTTTCTGTTCTTATAACAATGCCACCTCCTCCTTCACTCTTCCTGTTTTCTAGAAACAACTGTTTATCTTCTCTTCCACTATGAGGTAGACTTTTTGTTTGTGTTTTGTTTGGGGGGAGGTACTTTGACTACTGCTGTTGTTTGTATTGTTTTGAAAAAGGTCTCATTCATTCTATAGCCCAGGCTGTCCTAGATTTCCCTGAACAGCCCACGCTGGCCTCAGTTGCATGCACTCCATCCTCAGCTTCCCAAGTCCTTAGACAACCAAGGCATGAGCATCATCAGGTGTTCCTGACTGAGTTCTACTTTCAAGTCACAACTCAGGAGTTAGAGCAAGGGCAGCTGTCATTCCTACACTGTAATTTGATAATGCATGCAACTTAAAATTTTAACATGAAAAGAAAATTTTTAGTTTTCTTTGTCTGGGTCTAGTTTTGTATTATTGACATGAGAATAATCTCATCCTCCCTAATGCAAGCAGAAAAACTCCCCCTTAGATGGTAAAGAGTTAATTCACAAAGCAAGGCACAAAAGGCTCAACATCATTAAGGCTACTGGCTTTATTAACAGGGTGTCTTTGGGGGAGGGCATGCCAGAAGCTAATAGAAAGCAGCCTGCTGGGACAAAAGGGATGGTGAAGGAAAGAGCCCTCAGGAAGGACACCGGTGGCTGATAGGTACTCCCTAAGTCCTCCTTGCGTTTCTTATTCCTGTGGTCAAGTACAGGGAGCATCTTGAAAGGAGCACCTTAAGAGAGGAGGGTTGATTTGGCCTCACGATTGAAGGGACACAGTCAATAATGCTGAGGAAATCCAGGTGGCCATAGAGGCTCAATAGGCAATGTGTCACATCTTGCCCATGTAAAGAGCAGAGAGCTGGACCTGGAGGGGAGCTCACTGACCCCAGCCCTTGTAGTCTGTGTCTGCCAGTGAAATATCACTTCCTAAGGTTTGGCAGCTTCCCAGAACAGAAGACCAGCTGGGGCTCAAATATTTAAACACATGAATCTATAAGGAACATTTCATATTCAAACTATAATAAGCAGTTTTTGTTCACAGGACCAATGTGTAACTGAAAAGCCAGCAGTGGAGGTGCCTGTCTGGGTAAGGGATTTCCCCTCTTCATCTTAGAATCGGCATTGTTGACCCTGAGAGGAGCCACTGATTCCCACTAAGCTGGGAATTTTCATGGATGTCTTTTAGGCCTTTTCCTTGTCTGTGGGGTCAAAGACTCCTGGCTGGGATTCCTTTAGCTCCACAGTGAGTTGCCCAGCTCAGTCATCTCCTCCACTTGGCTTTCAGTGATAAGACAGCTCACGGCATGCATATGCAAGCATGATCTCTCTTACGGTTTATTCCAGCAAAGTATAATCCGTCCAAACTCTGTTCATTAAAAATCACAGATTTCATAAAATAATGTATTACTGTAGCTGAACATGCACATTCTTTTTGTCTGGCATGTGAATATTTTTATATGCTGACTTTATTTGTATAAAGAAACCACAGAGATCTCTGTTTGAAACCAAAAAAATTAGATTTAGTTTACATGTTTTTGTTGGAGTGTGGTGGTTAATCTCAACTGTCAGCTTAATGAGATCTAGAGTCTCCCGGGAGATGGAGTGCTAGGCACATTTGTGGGGGAATATTTTCACTGGTTTAATTGATGCAAGAGGGCCTGCCCACTGTGGGTAGCACCAAACCTTGGGGTGGGATTTGGACTACACAAAAAAGGAGAAAGTGTCCTGAGTGCAGGCATTCATCCTACTCCGCCTCTTGACTACTGATGCGATGTAGCCACCCCCCTCAAGTTCCTGCTGCTTCTTGCCACGATGGGCTGCAACCTGGGACTACAAGCGAGTGCAAAGAAATCCTTTCTCCCTTAGGCTGCTGTGTCAGGATACTTTGTCACAATGATGGAAAAAGAAGCCAAGACACGAAGGATCCATTTGAAAACTATCTTCTACTCTTGCTGTCTAAAGAACCAAAGGCAGCAGACTTAGGACCCACTACATGTTACAGTCTGCTAAATCTTTTTGTTGCTTAGGGGTTTCTCCCTAAATATCACCCTTCAATTTTGAGGTTCTTTTTACCATTTCTTAAAATTATATCAAAGATCTTAGCCAGATAAATGCTAATTACTCTAAATCACCAGAAAGTACCACTGACAATTCGGGACTAGAGCCCAACCTGCTCCCTCAACTGAACAGACATCCATCACTGCCCTTTATGTTACCATGGTGATCAGTTTACTGATAGAATTAGATTGGAAAATGATGCTTGACTACTTTGCTGTAGAATTTAGAATTTCTAAAGAATTACACCAAAAGCATTGTCTTAATAGCTAATATTATATTCTACACAGTTGTATTGCTTTCAATGTATTCTATTCTTTTAGGGCATTGTACATGCTGGCTTATATTTTTAAATAAAACAATGAAAGAAGTATCTCAGAATCACAAAGGAGAGGAATATCTTTTATTTTTATGAAAAAAACATTTTCTCCCAACAACTTATTAGTAAGACTTGTAACCACTATTTCTATTTTGGCAATTTTGCCTTTTGCCTTTGACAATGAACATTAATATTAGCTAATAGTATCCATTATAGATATGATCAGAGTATCAGACTGGGTATAGCTCAGTGTCAGAGGGTATATTTTCCATATATGCAGCCTGAATTAAAACCCTAGGGCCATACTCACATATAAAAGTTATAGTTGTATGGGTTAACTAAGATGATTCTGATATCCATTTAGATCTTATTATAATTATTAGTTTTTGATAGCTTAGTAGACCAGTTATTTAAACTTAAAATATCATATCCTATATTAGATTACTAATGAAAATATGTCTAAAATAAAGATAGCATTTGTAATACACTCCAAGTAAAATAAATGGTATTTCTACATATATAAGCATGTCAATGGCATGTGCTATCTTTAATATCATTTTTGGAAATAGGATGTGATTCATCACTGTTTGATCATAAGCATGACAGTGACCAAGGACATTTTAGAGATGAGGACTGTAGGTCCTAAAGTAGTTGACTGACAATTTTTTCACTGAACCCTGATGGTGGTCTAGGATTCTAAACATGGTGCCCCTGTATTCTTTTCTCTGGTGTGTTACTGTCAGTCCCTTCAGGAAAGCAATATGGTGGAATTAAGCAACGACTTGCTCTTGCCTGGCCTAATAGCATCACGATTTTGCTCCTCGGAAGAGAAGGGGAGTGCGCATGGAAACAAGGGCCATTGGCACATCCACTGGAGAGATGAAGTCATTAGCTGTCCACGGGCTCATTAAACTCTAATGGTGGTCATAATCATCGCTGTGATTTGGAAGCTCTGCCTTCACCCCCATGAAAGGCTTTTTGTTTTGCAGTCTTCCTTTCATTCAGCTTCCTGAAATGCTATGCCAATTGATGTTTGCATGTTTCCAAGATGGCAACGAGCCTTCTAATTGCTTCTCCCACTACACTGTGTGCTGGCAGGAACGCACCCCACTTTCAGATCACTTGATACCTCCTGTCACCTTAGGGCTCGCCAGCACACATTCAGAGGCAATGGAATGCCAATTATTTTCCTTCCTGGCATTCCATGAAAACATGTTGTAACTCCTTAAAGGAGAGAGGGATTTGGGAGTTTGATTTCTTTAATAATTCCCGCAGGGTTAGAGAGAGTTTAGCCTGTTTTGGGGAGGGGGGGGCACTGGGTTATATCCCAGTAACATCACCCACACCACTACAAAAATTTGTTCTATTAATCATGATATCCACAACCATCAATAATAGTAATACTGATAATAACCAAGTTTTCCGCCTAAAGGAGTTGAAAGACAATGAAAGCACTACAACTAATCAGTAAAATTTTATGCTTGCTCTGCACCAGCAACATTTCAAGTGTTCTCAATCGACTGGCTTGATTGTGTTCTTCCATAACTTGTCAGAATGTCTACTGTTCTCTCACTTTGTAGAGAAGAAATCTGAAGCCCATGGTTATGTAACTAGATCATGGTAGAACCACCATTTGGTATTAAAATAACACATTTTTAAATTCAGATTGGTGTCGAAGCATAGACATTTTAGTTGTTATAGGTAGAGCCAAAGACTGTCTGGGAGAATGGTAGCTTCTAGGAATTACTCTCAACCAGGAAAACAACAGGCAGTGATGAACAGTGAGTTAAATGCATGAAACCTTCTTTTACAAAGGACTTCATTCCACCTCACTTTATCAACCAGCATCCTTTATAAAAGCCTTCATCCCATCCTACTTTAACCAGCATCCTTGCAGAAGAAGCCCAACTGGGGCATTTTATGCCTCTACAAAAGAATGCATTCTCCTGGCTTCTTGCTTCATGCAATTCTAATTCATCTCTCCTTAACTGTGATTTGTGATGCCCACTCACATTCCAAGACAAGAGTGTGCTACCATCGAAAGAATCCTTTTGTACAACACCAGCATAGGTAGGCAGCCAGCTGGCAGAAACAGACAGCAACCAACAGGAAGCCACACATCCAGTGACTCACGTTTTCATCTCTACCCAGGACCATAATTTTATCCTGAAATAAAGGCTTATTGAACATCATGACTTAGAAAACCACCCACAGGCAAAGCACCACACTTGTATACTATGTTTGAATTCACAAGGTAGCTAAAACCATAATGTGACTTACTTTGAAATTCATCGTTTATCATTAGAAACTATGTAGGCTCCATAGTCATCAGAATGAGTTGTGGAGTTTAGAGGAAATGGCCTGTCAACCTAGAACAAAAACAAAACATCCAACAGTTCAAATTCGGCATGAAAAGATCAAGAGAATTGAAAGTACTTTAGTCTGCACATTAAGTGTCAGCTAAAGCGCTGGCTTCGGAGTCTGGAGATGAAGGCAGCCACTCACACGGAGGAACACCAGGTAGCAGAACCCCCGTGCTTGCCTCTGGTTTTTGAAGAATCAGTTAAATGAAGAGAGCAAAGGCTACAAACCATTCCTGGAAATGAACAACGTAACCAAACCCAGGAGGGAGGAGCCTGCTGCCACCCACCTGGAGAGACAGGTTAATCAGAAGATCAATTTCTCTCTTATCTTAGTCATTAGGCAGCCATTGATACCACCTGCTCACTTTAAACATACAAATACAAGGCAGACATCAGAAAGCTGACGTCATGCTCCAAAAGCCCTCTCTTTCTGCAGAGTGACAGGAGGACCAGGGTCCAACTCTGACCCCGAGAATCTGGGCATCTGCTCCTCTGGCAAACACAGGTGGGAGGGTGAATCAAAAAGCCAATCTCCAAGTGCAGGGAGTAGAAGATGGATATGCCAGAAACAGGAGCTATATTTACGCATGTGAAAGTCAACTGGAACTCAAGAAATAGTTAATGCATTGGGGAAGTTTCTCTCCTCTGAACCAATTCTATCCCTTGGATCCAAAGTGGCAATTCTTTAAAAACACACAGATAACACACAGATTTTATTTACTAATTTTACTGGTGTTGAGGATCACCGACTCCCCTAGGTGTAGACCACTCTTTCCAAAGCGTAAGGCAAGGCTCACTTGTCTGGGTGTGTTGTCAGCTGCTAATGGCCAAGATTTAAAATGACTCCATGGAATTCCCAAAGGGAAGCCAGTGCCGCCCCACCAGTGGGAGAAAGGGGAGATAGTTTCCGAAGCAGTAGTTGATCTTTTCCTGCAGTAGCTCCTTCGTGTTTCTTTCAACTTCAACTTTTTCTTAACCACTGTACACTCATGGGAAGTAGAGCTGCATAAGAGGAGGATCATCACAGCCCCTCACCTGTGCAGCAAATGAATATTCAAGCTGCCTTTCCCTTTTTGTATTTTGAGACAAGGTCTCCTTATGTAGCAAGCTGGCCACAAACACCTGATTCTCACTGCCTCAGATGCTAAAATGTTGAGACTAAAGGTGTGCACTTTCCTATAAAAGGAATACATTACCTCTTAATGGCATGCACCTTTAGGAGCTGGTTGGTTGAGGTGTCAGTGGTTAACTGGTCACCAAGGAATGTCTTTCTGTCAGCTTTGCACACTCTTATTCTAGTCTGAATTACCTTGTCAGTGGTAACTTGCTAACTTGGGAGGGAGAAGGTAAAGTAAGTTGTTTACCTTGCTTAAAGCTCTGGGATGGCAGCCTGCTAGCTAATTATGGCTCTCCTGCTCTTTTCTGTCTCTGAGAGCCAAAGTATCATGTGTAGGTTCTGAATACTTAAAATTCATTCCTAATTAAGCAATGTGTAGATGGATGGATTTTCTATCAAGTGAATCTCAAACCTGTAGCAGAAAATGAAGCAGCATTTCTGGCCTGAGACAGAAATGAGGTTAATCAAGATGCTGCATGAGAATCTACTTTCTAATAAAAAGACTCCCCTAGCAGTTTTCTAAAGTGCAGGTTTCTAAGATGGGCTAACCTTTTGTGTATTTTATTTTAATATCTGTGGTGCCAAGGAATTATTCCAGGACATCACACTTGCTAAGCAGATTTCCTACCAGTCAGCTATAGCCCTATCTTCCTCATTTCTATAATTTGAGGTTCTTTATTGAGTTTACCATGATGGTAAGTTTATACATCTCTTATTCTTTGTTTCAGGTGAAAATTAATTGAGAGGGAATAAGAAAGTGAAATTTTGGAGACCAGAAAGTTTGAGGTTTCAATAAACACATGATAAGTCTGACATGAACTGGCAGAGTTAAATCAGAACTTTCGGGATTTGAACACAAGATAGAAAGGGTAGCTGAATGAGGTTAGAGGGTCTGACCTTCAAATGGTGGGTAAGTGGGGGCTTAGGGATGTAACCGCTTGTAGCGTGCTTGACTAGCACGCACAAGGTCATGAGTTCAATCCTTATCTTCAGCTCAGCATAAAATGAAGCATATTGCTGCATGCCTATAATCTTAGCACTTGGAAGATGGAATCAATTGTATCAGAAGGTCAAGGTCATAAACTGAGTTACAGAGTGAGCTCAATAGTAGATGCATTACATGCCTGTACATATAACAATAGTTAATAAAATAAAATAAAATGGAATTAATGCTTTTGAAGAGAATTGTTCTTTAGGATTTTCCCCCAAATTCCTACTTTTTCAATGAGTTTGACCACAAACTCCCAAATTCAGTAATTCCCCTGCCTCAACCTCCCAAATAGATGATATTACAGGTACATGCCACTGCAACTGGCTCCTACTTTCTTCAAATTTTGAAATTACTTCCTCTTAAAAAATTTCCAAGTTCCAAACAATAGATACCATTTTAATACATTAAGTCTAATCCAGGTAACCACTTCTGCATTTGCAAATGTAAGACCAAGACTCTAACACTCTAGCAAGAAACAATATCCTTTAAGCTATGATGTAGGGAAGAAGGTTTCAACAAGATTCAAGAAACAGTAAGTTCCCAGTAACACGAAAGCAACATTTTCTCTGCCAAATGCAAATGCAATGAGCATAATTACCAGGAAACATAGAGAAGAGTACACAATTCACACAAAAAGCTCAAGAATTAACACAGTGTCAGGTCAGAGGGAAGGTGCATTCTGGAGGAAAGGAAAAGATGAGGTTTTGTTGTTTTCTGAGATGAGGTTTCTCTGTGTAGCCCCAGCTGTCCTGGAACTCACTATGTAGGCCACCCTGGCCTTGAACTCAGGGATCCATCTGCCTCTGCCTCCAGAATGCTGGGATTAAAGGTGTGTGCCTTGACTATCTGGCAGGAAAAGCCTTTTTAAAAATGGGTGGGTGGGTGCTTCAGGTTATCTAATATCCAAATAAAGACATGTTTAACTCCCGAAGTTTGGAGCAAACTCCTTTGCCTTTAATGTGTTCATCAATTCCCCTTGTTCTCCTACCTGGACTGTGGTGGTGACCTCCTACCTGTCTGTACCTGCCCTTGAGGAGCAGGTCGAGTTATTGAGGTGGGCCAATTCCACTCTATTATATTACATGACACATTCTGAGGAAGCTTTTTCTATCACCACTAACATTGTCATTTTTTAATTAAAACAACTCTTTGAGTATTCTGAGCTGACTGGAGTGTTCATAGAAGGAAGTTTGTCCTCTTAATTGGAAGCTTGGCTCTAGGATGGGGACATTAACCAGTAAACAATCAGTTGGGAACAGGGATGATATTTGAGCAGGAAGAGAACGGGCCAGAAATCCAATTTCAGCACATGAAATGTCTGTAGTCTATAGATCAGAGCAAGACTAGAAAATGAATTTAGTCAACAACTAATTCAACCAATAATTTCAGCAGAATTTAAAATGTAGCATTATTCTGAATAACAACAGTATGGCATGTCAATAGTGTACCACAACTATACTATAAAAATCTAGGGATTGTCTAGAAAATAATTGGCCTGTGGACATGTCTGTAGAGGATTGTCCTGATTGTTAATTGATATAGGAGAGCTCAGACCACTGTGGGCAGAGTCATCCCCTAAGCAGTTCCAAGCAAGCATGAGCCTGCCTGCCAGCTGCATAAAATATTTTCTCCCTTAAGCTGCTTTTGGTCAGAGTGTTTTAACACAGCAACAGAAATGAAATTAGAATACCACCCATACCAAAAATTGCTAAAGCCTAGATTAAGTCCAAATCCCACAACTGGGACTCCATACTGAGATAATTTTAGGTTGTGGCAAGTTGACATTTAAATTAACCAATACAAGTGTTATGAATACCCCATGTCTTAGTGACTTTTCTATTCCTATGATAAGACACCATGACCAAGGCAACTTATAAAAGAAAGCATTTAATTTAGGACTCACAGTTCCAGAGGGTAAGAGTCAGTGACTTTCATAGTAGGGACCACAGCAGTAGGTAGACAGGCAGGATGCTGGAATGGCAGCTGAGAGTTCACATCTTGATCCATAAGCATGAGACAGAGAGAGCTAAGTGGGAATGGCATTGGCTTTTGAAACTTCAAAGCCTGATCCCAGTGACACATCTTCTCCAACAAGGTTAAACCTACTAATTTCTCCAAAACCGTTTCACCAACTAGAGACCAAACATGCAAATATATGAGCTTATGGAGGGCATTCCCATTGAATTCACCACACCCTATTAGTATTATTTATGGATATTTACCATGTTAGGTTCAAATATGATATCACAGTAGATGTGGGAAGACATGATGCATATCATTCTCAATGGTATTCACAACACAGAGACAGCAATACTTTAAGAAGGCTCAAGTATGAGTTCCATCTTGACTTTGAAAAAAATCACAGATAGAAAATAATAAATTGCACCATAACAATTAGAAATGACTAGCTCTATATATCTATTTTGTGTGTTTCTAGTGTAAACCTCTATTCTAAATTTGTGTAATTTGAGTTTTAATAATGTGTCTCCAGAAAACAGAGCACTTTCCAAAATCCTGAAAATCGAATGATTTTGACTAGTGCCAGGATCCCTTTATCAAGCCACTCTTGGGCATACATTTTTAGTTCCTTGTGTTTGTTTTGGGAGAAGGTTCCTGAAATTTTAGATCAAAGCTTCCTCATGTCTTTCCACATATCTCACCATGTTGATAAAGGTTCGTTTTGAATAAGAAGGATGCAAAGATATTTTCCTCCAAATATCAGGCCAAGAGTAGAAGCTGGTGAGGGAGGACGGCTGTGAAGTGCCTTCCATACGGACACGAGTGACTTGCAGGAACCATGTGGCTTGCTCCTCCCTCTTCTTGTGGCCCATCAGGAGGGCAGGATTCTCATTCCAGATACAAGCTTATCACTTGGATCACAGCTAAGTTGATAGCCTC